CCAGCTGCAGAGGCTGGACGATGGGAGGAGGGTTTGGAGCAGCTCCTGTGGGGATGCCCCACAGGAGAATGGATGGTTCTGATGTCAGCTTCGGGGTGCAGATTCCTGAGGGCACAGGAGGGTCTGGTGGCCCCGGGCAGCTTGCTGGGAGAAGCTCCGTGGAGGAGGAAGTCCAGAGGTCAGGAAGGTCCAGGAGGGGTCTTCTGGGGGGCGAGAATGCTCTGAGCAAGGTCCCAGAAGTCCAGAGCTCCTGAGGGACCTGGGATCGGGGAATTTCAGGGTTGGTCACCGCCACAGCCCTCACAAGCGAGGCCCCTCTCTGGGACTGGGCACCTTCTCACCTCGGCCGGTTCACAGTTCTGGGGGGCAGCTGTGGCTGTTGCTGGGAACCAATAGGACCTCCCTGGGGCTTCGGGGTGGGGTGGTGCTGTACAGCCATGGGTCCATGGCTCACTCCCGCCATCTAGAGGCCACTGCTCCTCACAGGCTCTGGGGCTGGTGGCCGGCCTCTGCCCGCCGGGCAGGACCACCTCACCAGATGGCAGGCTCTCTGCTCACCTGGACGGGCTGACACCTCTCCCCCTGCAGTGGCTACTTGCACACAGGGCTGGACCATGCCAGGGTTCAGGGCTCCTGTCATGGGGTGTGGCTGCAGCCACACCTGACCTCTCCAGCTAACCTCCTTCCCTGCCTGTCCCGTCCACTCCTTTCTCTCCATCACCTGCCCCTGGCGTGAGCCAGGCCACCACTGACCCCATCCACACCTGTCTGACCAGGCTCCCATGTGCCCTGATGCAGCCCGGTAGGCTGGGTCCCCTTCCTGATGAATCCCCAACCTGCTAGCCATTGTCCTCAAGACGCGATAGCATCTTGGCCTCCGTCTGCAGACCCTGTGAGCCTCCACTGGGACGCACTGAGACATGTCAGGCTCCTCACGAGCTCTGTCTTGAGTGGCCATGCCTGGGGCCCCACCTGGCATCTCATGGAGGAGGGAAAGGGCCTAGCATGGGGCCTCTATTGGCTCAGTTCCCAGAATCCTCGAGGAGGCTCTGCCACAGTGCACGAGGTAAAATTCATGGAATCGTAGAGGAGGCCAGTTATACCAACATGCAGTATGGAAACGGTTTCTGTAAGTGTGATCAAAACCCAAGTATTTCTTCACCAATTCGCCAAACAAGATGTGACACACAGGGCAGCCTCTGCAGTCCCAGCAGCAGCGGGCGTGGGTGCGACGCGTTCCCATGGTCTGGGTCAGCCGTGGGCCCAGCTCACCAGATTTGGTTCATGGCTTGGTTCGTACTGAATGTGCCTTTCTGCTAGAGGTCGTCGTAAAGAGGATGACGGTTTCTTCCCACCACTTTACCTTCTGTCATGGGTTTGGTCATTACCCCCTGGATTGTTGAGACTCCTCCTCCCACCGTTCCCTCCCACCTTGCCTGGCCACCCCCCACCAGCTCCCAGACCCACCATGTCTGTTCCACGCCATCATCTTTACACACCCTGTCCTGCAGTGGCCTCTGTCCCTCCCCGAAGCTTCGTAAGGTTGTTGGGGCTTCGATCCACACCCCAGATGACATCCCTCTCCCTCCCAATTCAGGGACACTCTCTGCACCCCTGAAAAGCAACTCCCAGCCCTTCTGAGCCTCTCTGTTCCTCTGGGCACTCCTTGTTTCCCATCCACCCTGGCTGGCCTGTGGCCTGTACTTCTGATCTGCACACAGGTATTACAGGGGACAAAGACCCCAGGGTCCCAGCCCTCAGTGGGGGTGGAGGGTACAAGGGGCAGTGGTCTTTGTTCTCAACCAGCAACCTAGGTCATGCTTTGAAAGTCACTGTGCTAGGAGATCTTTGTGGCTTAAAACGTTTAGATGAACGAGATATTTAAAAGTGTCCCTCAGCTCGGCGTGGTGGCTCACTCCTGTAATCCAAGCACTTTGGAGGCCAAGGTGGGCGGATCACCTGAGGTGGGGAGTTCAAGACCAGCATGATCAACGTGGTGAAACCCCGTCTTTAAAAAAAAAAAAAAAAAGTGTCTCTCATGCAAAGTCCCAGCCTGGGGAGGGTCAGGGTGGGGCTCTAGTCTGGTTTTTGGGGGCATCTGGGTGCATTCCCTCCCCAGAACCTTGTGCTTGTCCATCCTGAAGAGAAGTCAGGTGGGGAGTAGCCTCACTGCTGGCTCCTCGACGGCGGCTTGCTCCAGGGGTCTGTGTTGATACCCCAGACCCGCCCCACCAACACCTCAACCAGGACTGGGTGGAGCATGGCTGCACAGACTCCTCTGACAGCTCCGTGATGCTTCTGGGATGTTGGCTCCCTCTCCTTTCTGCTGCCACTCTTAGGAACTTGCAGCTAACTGGGGAAGTTCTCCTCCATGCTGTCTGGGCTGCACCTCCGTCCTCCACCCCTTACCAGCATCTCAGGACCTCCAGCCCTGATGCTTGGAGGTCTCCCCAGCCTCCAGCTGGCTCCCTTTGGGTGGTCTTCAAATCAACTCACCCTCAACCACTGCAGAAGCCTGTGTGTCTGGCTGGGCAGGCTCCATGGATGTGTCCATCGTCCTCATAAATGATGGGAACCAGCTCTGAAACCCTGGCTGCCAGGACCTCTGAAGCCTCGCTTTCTGAGGTTCCTGCTGGTCTTGTACAAGGGCGGCTCCAGTGAGGCTTCTACAGGACCCTGGCCAGCTCCCTGGTCTGGCTTGTCAGCCACTGAGAGGGTAGCTGCAGCCTCCACTGGTGCCCAAGATGGGGCTGGACCCTTCAAGCCTTCGTATGTGCCCAAACCATGGGATTCTAGCCACAAGGACCTGCTTGGATGGTCTAGGCTGGAAACGATGGGCCCAGCTCACAGGGAGGGGCAGAATCAGTCGGTATGGAAGCTGGAGGTTTTTTTTTTTTTTGAGATGGAGTCTTGCTCTTTCGCCAGGCTGGAGTGCAGTGGCACGGCCTCAGCTCAGGGGAACCTCTGTCTCCTGGATTCAAGCGATTCGCCTGCCTCAGCCTCCTGAGTAGCTGGGACTACAGGTGCGCCACCACGCCTGGCTAATTTTTTGTATTTTAGTAGAGACGGGGTTTCACCATGGCCAAGATGGTCTTGATATCCTGACCTCATGATCCACCCGCCTTGGCCCCCCAAAGTGCTGGGATTACAGGTGTGAGCCACGGCGCCCAGCCGAGACTGGAGGTACTGTGTTCATGATGACATTATATCTCATGGGGCCTCTATCTGAGAAAAGCCTTGCTCCAAGGAATTCTATGCTTTTTCTTTATGATTAAGATGTCTTTTTTTTTTTTTTTTTGAGACAGAGTCTCGCTCTGTCACCTAGGCTGGAGTGCAGTGGTGGAATCTGGGCTCACTGCAACCTCCACCTCCTGGGTTCAGGCGATTCTCCTGCTTCAGCCTCACAAGTAGCTGGGATTACAGGCTTGCACCACCATGCTGCCTGGCTAATTTTTGTATTTTTAGTAGAGACAGGGTTTCGCCACGTTGGCCAGACTGGTTTGGAACTCTTGACCTCAAGTAATCTGCCTGCCTTGGCCTCCCAAAGTTCTGGGATTACAGGTGTGAGCCACCTTGCATGGCCAAAATGAGTCTTTTTTTTTTTTTTGAGACAGAGTCTTGATGTCGGCCTGGGTTGGAGTACAACGGTGCTGTTATGGCTCACTGTAACCTCTGCCTCCTGGGCTCCAGCAATTCTCCTGCTTCAGCCTCCTGAGTAGCTGAGATTACAGGTTCCTGTACCATATCTGGCTAATTTCGGTATTTTTAGTAGAGATGGGATTCACCATGTTGGCCGGGCTGGTCTTGAACTGCTGACCTCAGGTGACCTACCTCCTTAGCCTCCCAAAGTACTAGGATTACAGGCATGAACCACCATGCCTGGCCAACGTGAGTCTCTTAACTGACCATATTTCCCTTTTCATTTTGATTGCTGGGAAGCTCAGTTATATCTGATTAGTGTGCCACAGACAGCCCAAGGCATGCTCCGCCCATTTCACCAGCTACCTGGCCTCACAGTTCCGTGGCTGAACTCGAATGACTGCAGGCTCCACCGCACTGCAGACAGCAGCTCCTCACCCCACACCCTCCCCCAGATTGTGCCCTCTCCAGCAAATCACCCGGCATCTGTGTTACTGAGGGGCTGGCAGGCATTGGTGGGCATGCCGGCCCTGCCCTCTCCTTGTCCTAACCCTCCCCAGGCCTGGCCTCTCTCTCTGGCTGCCTGCAGTCTGGCCCTACCTGGGGACCTCCTACAGCAATGGCAGTGAACACTAATTGTCACGCTCCATCCCCTGCGCTGTTCTCAGGCATGTGATGTGAGTCAGCTTACATCACCTTGACAGGAGCGCTGCGAGGCTGACAATGTCGTCATTCCAGTTTCACAGGTGGGGAGACTGAGGCGCAGAGCAGTCAACGTGCAGAGCCCAGGATCTGCTCCGGGGAGCTGACCGTGGAGGCAGGAGCCTTGCCCACGCACCCTCTGCAGAGGCCCCGGGCACCTCGCGAACCCCAGCACTGGCCCCTTCCAGAGGCCACGTCCAGCTACTGCGCACTCACACCTGCAGGCCCCCCAAGCCTCCTGGAGAGGTGACCTCCCCGCAGAGGCCCAGTGACCCACACTCCGCTCTGGGACGCTGGGGACGGCCTTCCAGGCCAAGGCCGGAGCGCGCGGGGCTCGGCGAGGCCCAAGAGCAGGTCTGAGGGCGGTAGGTCCTGAGCCACCCACCGAAGGACCGGGGGAGAGCAAGGCCCGAGACAGGAGGAGAGAACGGGGCGGACACCCCGACCTGCGGGGCCCCGCCGCTCGGGGCTGCCTGGGCTCCGGGGGGCGGGCTGAGGGCGCTTGCCTCGCGGGGCATTGTGGGATCACGAGTCTCTGGCGGCAGCGCGTCAGGACTACACTTCCCAGGAGACTGTGCGCGCCGCGCGGCGCCTGGGGGTTGTGGTTCAGAACGCGGCGAGCGCGGGCGCAGAGAGCGGGGCGGGCGGGCGCCTGGACTACGCGTCCCAGGATGCCGCGCGCGGTCGCGGGGCGAGGGTTTGAACCGGGGATCTGCCGCCCGCAGCGGGCCTGCGTCGGCTGCGGCGGGTGCGGGAGGTGGCGGCTGCCGGGGCCGGGGTCCCAGCCAGGCGGCGGAGGTGGGCGCGGCGGCCGCGGGGGGCGCTGCTCCTGAGGTGATGATGGGCAAGGAGGAGGAGATTGCGCGGATCGCCCGGAGGCTGGACAAGATGGTGACCAAGAAGAGCGCGGTGAGGGGCGCGGGCCGCCAGGACCCCGGGACCCCCGCCCCGCCGAGACCCCGTCGAGCCCGCCGACCCCCGTTAGGGCCGGAAGACGACCTGAGGGGCAGGACAAGACCCGTCCCCGGCAGAGACTCCCGGGACGCAGGGGAGACCCCCACCCGTGGCCGAGACCCCTGCCCCGGGCCCGCCCTGCCGTTCACTCCCGCGGCCCCGGGAGAGGCCGCGATCGGGCCTGGACCTTGTCCCGGGAGCCACCCGCTCTGGACTCAGCCCTGCCCCCCGCCCGCAGTAACGGGCTCGCACCCGTCCCTGCCCCTTAACTGCAGACCCCCAGCCCGGCCCCGCCCCGCCTCTCGGAGCCCCCGGGGCGTTCGGGCCTCCCGGGCCCCCTTGCCTTCCTCCGTCCGGGCCCGGGCATCCTCGCGGGCCGAGCCCCGCCCCCAGCGCAGCCCTCGCGTAGCGTTTGTCACCGGCAAGAGCTTGGAGTCTGAGGCCCCCTTTTCTCCGGAGCTTCCGTGCCTCCCCTACCTCTTCCGGCCCTTGTCATCCCCCTTCACTGGCCCTGTCTGTCCCCACCCCACGTGAACCAGGTTTCTCTAATAAATTCTCTCCCTTCTTTAGCCAGGATTTAGCCCGCAGCAACTTGGGTTGTGGGTAGTTATGTGGACACCCCCGGAAAAGAGCCGGCGTGCTTATATAAGACCCAGGAGGTCGGACAAGCCTCCCCCGGGAGTGTCTGACCAGCTCTGCTCACTGCGGCCTGGACCTCTGTCTTGCCGCCACTGCAGGACTCGGGAGGGGCCAGGCCCGTGGGGGTCCAGTTCCACTGTCATGACCTCGGCGCCCTGTGCGCCTTCCCACAGAAGCATCTGAGAGGATGGTGCCTGCCTCCTGGGGGGTGGGGAGGGGTCTGGTCGCAGGTCACGTGGAGCTCCTGGCCGGCTCAATAAACGTGGCCTGCGCGTTCCCACCCAGACTGTGAGCTCCTAGAGCAGGGCCAGCTGTGTGTCTGCCAGGCCAGCCCAGGGCGGGCGGTGAAGGTGGCTGAGTCATGGGCTTTGGGTGATTTGTGCAGCCACCCCAGGGCTGTGTGACTGCAGTAGGCGTTTGGGGGGAGCTTTTTGGGCTGAGCAGGGTTGAGTGTGGGTTCCTGTTGACCAGGGTTTTCTACTGGGGTCTGCACTGGGAAGGGGTGGGCTCCCACTCATTTCTGCTGGGTGCAGCACCGCCATCATTGCATTCACACACACCCCTGGGAAACTGGTCAGCACAAACTAGGGGTCTGTGAACCTTCTATAGCTGTTTCCAGAGATGACCTGAGAATGGAGTTATTTCCCTTCTTAGAGGAGACAGAACACAAAAGAGAAAAGCTGTATGTGGGAGAAGCAGGGATGGGTCATAGCGCCGGGGGGAGGGCTGGGTGGGGCTGGCAGAACGGACAGTGGGGGTTCTGATGGAAGAACAGCTTCAGTAGAAGCCCTAGGAGAGAATGAGAAGGGGGAGGAGGGCCAGCAGAGCCTCCTGGGGGGTCCCAGTGCCTGAGGTCCCCTGGGGGACTTGGGGGCCAGGCTTGGTGGTGGTTTTTTTTTTTTTTTTTTTTTTTTGAGAGGGAGTTTCGCTCTTGTGACCCAGGCTGGAGTGCAATGGCGCGTTCTCGGCTCACCGCAACCTCCGCCTCCTGGGTTCAGGCAATTCTCCTGCCTCAGCCTCCTGAGTAGCTGAGATTACAGGCACGCACCACCACACCCAGCTAATGTTTTGTATTTTTAGTAGAGGCAGGTTTTCACCATGTTGACCAGGATGGTCTTGATCTCTTGACCTCGTGATCCACCCGCCTCGGCCTCCCACAGTGCTGGGATTACAGGCTTGGTGGTTTTTATGCCCCTTGTCCCGAGCCCACTGAGAGCCACATGAGCTGGTGCAGCGAACAGTGCCCTTGGCTCTGGTGATCACCTCAAGCTTGGACTCACCAGCCCAAGGGGCAGGGAGGTTGCCTGGGAGGGTTGATGAGGGGCTGCAGTATGAGGAGAGAGGCCTCCCAGATTGCTGGGGCTGTGTGTGGGGGGGATGACAAGCCCCTCCCATGGCTTGTGGGACATCTGATAGATCATCTTAGGGCAGAGGGAATGATACATGTGTGGAAGTGCTGGCATGTGCTTTAGAGAAGATGGGAGTATTACAGGGTGCAGTCGTAGTTTTAGATAGGAGAGGCCTTGCTGAGAAAGTTGTTTAAATAAAGCCTGGGCGGGAGGGAGGGAGGGAGCTGTCCTGGGAGGCTGCCCCAGGCAGTGCAGCTGCAGGTGCAGCGGCCTTGGTGGTGGCTCGGTGCCCTTGGGGAGCATGGAGGAGCTGGAGCTGTGCCTGGTGTGGAAATGTGACCAGTTTTATGCCTGCCTCATCCGTGTGTGAGGACCTGGAGGAAATGCAGATCTTGGGTAGGGAGACAGGCAGAGAGAACAGTGCATTGCAGCTGTCCAGGCGAGGGGTGCTGGCCAGCTTGGGGACAGCTCAGAAGCCTGGAGGATAGATGAGGAGGGGGGCTGTGGGCTTTGTAGGTGTTGGCTGTGGCTGTGCCTGAAGTGGAGGCACCCTGAGAATTTGGCCTCAGCTGGGGACACTGATGTTCCTGGGTTGGCCTGTCACAGCCGGTGGGGGGTGGGTGCTTTGTGGGAGGCTGTCCTGTGCATCAGGGCATGAATGCACAGGGGAGTGAATGAACCTGGGTCTGCACTTTCACCTGGGTGTGGCCCTGGCTGCTGGGGAGGGGCTGTGGCCCTGAAGCCTCCCAGTTTGCCAGGGGAGCTGGCATTTCTGTTCTGGTTTGGGCGAGTGACCTGAGGTGGCTACAGTGAAGTGGGTGAGGTCGTTGCCTCGGATGTGGGTCACAACCTGGAATACTTGGGCTGCAGAACCCTCCCCTTCTTGACTGGGCAGTAAGGGCACCTCAGCTACCCAAGACACGTGGGAAGAGCCCTGGGTGTCTCCAGGTAGAGGAATTTTGGTTTCTTTTTGACCCCAGGTTAAATCTCCAAATTATCACTGCCTTGTGTCCCCTCCAGTAGCCTGAAGGAGGCGATATTGTCCATTGATATCTAAGGTCCTTTATGAAGGTCCTCCTTCTCCTTCCAGGAGGGAGCCATGGACCTGCTGCGGGAGCTGAAGGCCATGCCTATCACACTGCACCTGCTCCAGGTAGGTCCCTGCCTGCCCCAGGTCCAGGACAGCTCCTGGGGATGGCCCAGGGGACAGCAGTTCTGAGGACACCTGGTGGGGCTTCCCCACCCTCCCCACCAGGCCTTAGTTGGCACAAATGCCTGTTCCTGAGGAGAGGGTCTCTGCCCTTCTCTGGGCTCAGTGGGACAGGGAGGGGAGTCTGAGGATAACCCATCTTGTCCTCCGTGGCTGAGGCTCCTGGGTTCCAAATGGGACAGTTGCCATTGGGAGCGGCATCCATCTCCCTGGTGGGTCCTGGGTTCCTGTCCTGTGGGAGCCACCAAGGGTCTGCCAGGAGGAGCTGACCCCTAGAGGGGCCCCTGCCGCCACCCGACCCGGACCACTTGCCTTGCAGTCCACCCGAGTTGGGATGTCCGTCAACGCCCTTCGGAAGCAGAGCTCCGACGAGGAGGTCATTGCACTGGCCAAGTCCCTCATCAAGTCCTGGAAGAAGCTCCTGGGTGCGGCTCAGGCAGCGCCCACTGAGTGCTGGGGCAGGGGCCCCGGGAAGTGCTGCCTCTTGCTGGTCAGCACAGTGCAGGGTGCTGGCAGTGCCCACCTTGAGCCAGGTCACCTGGGAGTGGGGCAGTGGCACACCTGGACCAGGAAGCACCCAGCTTGGGGCTGGTAGTGGGTCAGTGAGTGCCTGGCAGCACTGGCTGGGCGGAGTGGCCTAGGAGGCAAGGGTGTGTGCTGGGGCTGGGTTCCAGGTAGAACAAGGAGAGAAGAGAGCTGAGGCCAGGACTTGAACTGACAGCACTGAGAGTAGCCAGGAGCCCTAGAGAGACTGCGGTGAGCTGGGGAGGTCAAGATCATGGCCTTGGGAAGTGTGGGGAGAAGGGAAGCGGGAGGGAGAAGGTGGGGCCGCCTCAGCTACTCAGAGGGAACAGAGGGGCAGCCCGCAGCCAGGGAAGGGCTGGGCTGGACTGAAGGCTTCCTCTTCCTGGAGACAGTGGGGGGACTGGGGTTGCTAAGGTGCCCCGTCTGGGATGGAGGCAGCCCCCGCTAGCTCCACACCCTTGTGAGACAGCCTCTCTCCAGCCCTGTGTGGCCCCTGGGCTGTGTGTGGCACAAGTGTATCCTGGTTCCCAGCCCTTGGGCCTGGCTTTGGGCTTTCAGAAACACGCTTGTTGGGGACATGCTTGGTCTCCCTGGTCGGGATGGGCAGGAGGGTAAACCCCAGAGAGGGCCCAGAGGTGGCCTTTGTGTGTGAGTGCTTGTGTGGGAAAGGGTTCTGGGGAGGCAGCCTTGGGACTGCAGAGACTCATGGGTTGCTGGGAAGGGTGAGGACCTGCTCACAGAGGCTGGACAGCTCCCTGGTCCCTGGCTTCTCTGGCTGGGTGGGCAGCTGTGGTGGGGCAGTGTTGGTGGTCTGCACCCCTCCTTCTGCCTTCCTCTCTTCAGCCAATCCACCATCTTTCCTGCAACTGCAGATGCTTCAGATGCCAAAGCCAGGGAGCGGGGGAGGGGCACGCCTCTGCCTACATCTTCGAGGGATGCCTCGGAGGCCCAGGATCCCAGGTAGCACACCTGGAAGGCAGGTGCACACACTCCTGCTTCCCAGCCTGTTTCCTCACCAGAGAAAGGGTGCTGATCTCCGTGTGCCTAGGCACCACTTTGAGTCCGCACACAGATTCAATCGGCCTCATGGTGTGTCCCGCCTGCAATGACCCCGAGACACGGGCTGTGTCTACCTGGCTGTCAGCCAGCCACCCTGGTCTCTTCCTCTGCCAAGCGCTGCCGTATACCCTGAGTGGGCCTGTGGGAGCCCCCTGCCCTCTTTCCCCAAGACCCACCACTGGGTCTGGTTCTCGCTGGCCCACTCTGGCTTCCCCCTCAGCCTCGCTCAATGAGGGCCCCTCCTTCCTGCAAAATTCTGCCCAGAACCAAAGGCGGGGTGCCCAGCCCCCACTCCTGCCCTGCATGTGCACGTGTGGCCACTGCTGCCAGTGGGGGGTGATCAGGGCTCTGGCCTGTGGCTGGGAGCTGGGGTGCTTATGGTGACAGGCTATGGTCGAGAGACGGCTTTGCCCTTGACCATACTGGGTTGCAGTAGCTGGGTGCTGGGTTTAGCTTTGCCACTGGGAGCTCATGGACACATCTTTGCAAGTTGATTTTCTTCCAGGAAGCTGCCTGCTTCTGCCGTTTGCGAGGGGGTGAGGGGAGGGCTGGGTGGATGCAGCCTGGACACTGGGCAGCCCATGTTGTGGACGAGCGCTGTGGGGCACCCTGATTCCATTTTGCACGTGCCCATTGGGGTCATCTGTGATAGCAGAGCCTGGCATTGGGTGGCCCTGCCTGTCTTCTGCCCCAGGCAGCTGTGGGTCTCTGCCTTTCCCTGACTAGGCGGCAGCCACAGCTGCCTTTAGCAGAGCTGTTCGTGTTGTGTCCCGGGGGTGGGCACCCCAGATGTGGCAGGAACTGCCAGGTTCATTCTGATCTGCTGGTGATACTGCCCAGACACTGACTGCTGGTTTGGAGATCCCGTTGCCTCCTGGGGAATACACCCCAACCCACTGGGGACCTCAAGGCCCATTCCCTCCTGGCAGCTGGGCGCACCCCATGAACATCTGGGGTACACTCAAGATAGGCAGGGCCGCAGGCCACTGTTGGACTCTGGCAGACTGGAGCAAGCAGGGTTTGGAGGGGGTCACGCTATGGCACCTGCTGCTTCTGGGACCAGTGGCTTGCCGGGGTGCCTGCAGCCTTGCCTCTGAGCCCAGCGGGCTTGGATCTCTGCAGCCGCAAGAGGCCGGAGCTGCCCAGGGCACCGTCCACTCCGAGGATCACCACGTTTCCCCCAGTGCCCGTCACCTGTGATGCTGTGCGCAACAAGTGCCGTGAGATGCTGACCGCTGCCCTGCAGACGGACCGTGAGTGCGGCAGGTCCTGGCTCCCGACACCCGCTTGGATCCACCGGGTGACCCAGGCCCCTGCCTGCCCGAGGAGGCCTGCTTCTGGAGGGACCACCCTCCTCCCCCAGCCATTGCCGTGTCCCTGGCAGGGGCCTGGGGCCTGTGCCTGGATTGTGGGCCTCTCCCAGGGACACGGGTGTCCCCTCTGAGCTGCCAGGGTCTCGTACAGGCAGAAGGGGTGGCAGGTGGAGGAACCAGTGGGGGCTGCTAGTCAGGGCTCCCTCTTGCAGACGACCATGTGGCCATCGGTGCGGACTGCAAGCGCCTGTCGGCTCAGATCGAGGAATATATCCTTTGTGCAGGGGCTGTGGGCCCAGGTTTCTGGCGGAGTCACGAGGCTGCCCGGCCTCGCGCCCTCTGGTGGTTGCTGGATGCCGCTGTCCAGGGGTTGCCCAGCTGTCCAGGGGTCGCCCAGCTGTCCAGGGGTCACCCTCCTGGGTGGTCACCTGCCTGGATGGTCAAGCTGTCTCAACCCAGGAGGGCCCCTTGGACCTCAGAGGATCTGAATTAGAGGAGCTGATTCTGCCTGCTGGTGGGACCTTGGTCCCCTGGGACTGTAGCCTGAAGCTGGGTCTCAGTCGGGAGTGGGCCTGGGGCAGGCTCGGTCCTGCAGCCCTTCACCTCTTCACCAGGTAGTGGTGGGCAGAGCCTCTCCAGCCCCCGCCCCAACGCGGCCTCCCACGGGGAAGTGGTAGGTGGAGGGCGGTGACGTTGTCCTCAGATGGATCCTTAAGCACTGCACGCATCTTCCGGGATGTTGGGAACACAGACATGAAGTATAAGAACCGTGTGCGGAGCCGCATCTCCAACCTGAAGGATGCGAAGAATCCTGACCTGCGGCGGAATGTGCTGTGTGGGGCCATCACGCCCCAGCAGATCGCCGTGATGACCTCAGAGGTGAGTCCCCGTTGGAGGTGCTAGAGGGCTGCTCGCTTGGAGCTGTGGGCTGAGCTGCTGGCCCTGTGCTCCAGGAGATGGCCAGTGACGAGCTGAAGGAGATCCGCAAGGCCATGACCAAGGAGGCCATCCGAGAACACCAGATGGCCCGCACCGGCGGCACGCAGACAGACCTGTTCACCTGCGGCAAGTGCAGGAAGAAGAACTGCACCTACACGCAGGTGAGCGGCTGTGGCGCCTCCCCCGCCCCTCAGGTGTCTCCAGGGCATCCGGTGCCTGTTCTTGCCTCTGCTGCCGTTTCCTGAGCCTCTCAGTTCCTGACTGGGCGAAGGCGCGACCGTCACCTTCAGGGACCACTCCCCTCTGCCCAGGACCCCTGGGTCCCAGGAGGCAGTGTCTTGGGTGGTGGGTCCCACTTGTTCTGGGCACTCAAGTTGGAGGGCCTAGCCAGGCCTGGCCTGGCCTGAAGGTGTTGGCGCTGGCGGGAGGGCTGTGCCACCTGCTGCCTGGTGTGGAGGTGGACACCGAGGTGTGCTGGGGAGACTGTGGACCCCACGAGATGGCGGGGACCCTGCTCAGAGGGGAGTGCGTTGAGGCGGCTGCTGCGCCTGGCAGATGACACTCGTGAGGGGTCTCGAGGACATCCCTTCCTTTCCCTCAAAGACTGCGTGGGGCTGGGGTCTGCAGAGCCTGCCTCTCTCCTGTTCCCAGCAGCTGGTCAGAACAGGCTCTGCCTTCTGGAAGGCAGCCACAGCCACTGGGGACACCTGCTAGTTCCCCCCACCATGGGGACCCTTAGCCAAGTCTGGGCCCTGCTGGTCCCTAGGCAGTTGAGCTGCTTCAGGCCCATACAAGGGCCTCTGCCCTGATAGACACTGTCTCCCTCCCCTGGAGGCTCAGCTCTGGAAGGCTGGAGTCAGCTGTAGGGGCTCAGCAGCTGCCAGCATGGCGCATGTTGACAGACACCCTTTGCAACAGAGCATGGAGGCGACGCTGAGCTCACCCAGATTTCCCCGCAGGTGCAGACCCGCAGCTCTGACGAGCCCATGACCACCTTTGTTGTCTGCAACGAGTGTGGAAACCGCTGGAAGGTGGGTGAGCAGGCCCAGGCTGCCCTCCTAGCCCTGTCCACTGGTGGTGGGGTGTCAGCCTCTGTGGCTGTGTGAACTGGGGATGGCCCTGCCCAGCCAGCCTACTGGGAGTCTCTGGCACGGTGGGTGGAGACCCCAGCCTTGGGTGTACCTGTGCGGCCTCCCACTCTGCGGGCTCTCGTGTGGCCACAAGACTGGAGGCCTCACCCCTTTCTCACAGTTCTGCTGAGCCCTCACGCGGATATGCTGCGTGCTGCCCCTCGCCCACGTCCTCCGTTGACGCAGCTTCTCTGGAGACCCCAGAAGGTGGCATGTCCTGCACTCAACCTGCCTGCCTGGATTGCACCTTTCTGCCCTTTACCCTAGTTATTAAATGTTTCCTTTTGCCATTTTATTCTTAGCTGTTACTCCTGGTGGGCCATGCTCCACATGACCCATTTCCACTGCTGTGGACAAGACCCCTCCCTGGGGTTGGGCAGTGCTTGGGTTTGGCCCTGGTGGGTCAGTCCCAGCAGAGGAGCTTGGCTGACCTTCATAGATCCCCTGGGGCGGCTGTGTGTGTGAGGGCGGGGGGAGAGGACCTCCTGTGCGGGGCGGCTGTGTGTGCCAGGGCAGCGGGGAGAGGACCT